CCCCAGATCACTTCTTCAAGAGCTGCTGTCTGCTTTCTGAGATCCTCTTCTCGGGCAGCCATCCCACCTTCCTGCAGAACTGAGCAATGCAGGCCTGGGGAGCAGAGGCTCAGGCAGAATCACACTGTCACTCAGCCAGCAGGCACTGTGTGCCTTTGGATAAGTCACAGCTTTTAGACCCTCAGCTTCTTAGATGCACAGTTAAGGAAAGGATGTGCATCAGAAGTGTGGTGCGGATCAGTGAGACCATGTGTGCTGGATTTCGGGGAACATTCACAGGTGCTAAGTAAACAAATAGCAGCCATTTTCTCCCTTACTCGAATGCTACCTCTCAAGTTAGTATCCTAAGTCCCTCCTGACCCTAGACTCAGTTTCCAGCTGTTCACTGACTTCCCCTAAGATGCCGGCAGCTACAATATACTCAGTCACCAAGTCCTGTCACACTCTGGACCCTCATCACCACTGCCCAGTACATCTCTGAGTTCCCAATAGTTCCTGCCCTGGCTCCTTGCCCAGCCGCAGACCCCGAGTGGGACAAGCGTGCTTTCTGTGGGGCACTCCCTCCTGATTCTCCAGCTCCCTCTGATCCAGCGATGTCCCCTGGGCCCCAGAAGTTCAGATGAGTTCTCCTAAGTTCACCTTCTGGGGAGCCAACTCAACACTCTGGATACCGTCTAACAAGTGCAAGATCCCGGGTTCAACCCCCAACAGCTCAAAAGGCAACAGGCAAAAAATGTGTACGAGCAGAAGACACTTGATGCTGCTCCTCCTGAGTGGAGTGGCCCTGATTTATCAGACACTGAGCAGAGACCTCTGCGGCAGGCTCCCGCCTACCACAGTTTTGATCACTGCAGTCCCTACCTTAAGCAACAGAAAACAGAAGCTGACATCTCAGCAAATTCAGCAGAAGAGCAGGAGCAGAAGGAAGGGGAGTAGGAGCACTGCCCTGACCACCTTGCCGTGGGAGTCCCTCTATGTGCTGTGATTACCATTAATGAATAAAGAAACTGCCTTGGCCTGTTGATAGGGCAGAACTTAGGTAGGCGGGGAGGACTGGACTGAATGCTGGGAGAAAGAGGGTGGAGTCAGAGAGACGCCATAGAGCCACCAAGGATAGACATACTGAAACTTTGCTGGTAGGCCACGCCCTCGTGGTGGTGCACCGATTAATGGAGATGGGTTAAATTAAGATGTAAGAGTTAGCTAATAAGAAGCTAGAACTAATGGGTCAAGCAGTGATTTAATTAATACAGTTTCTGTGTGGTTATTTTGGTTCTGGGCAGCCAGGATGAAGAAGCGGCTCCCTCCCTCCAACACCACCTTAGCATGGGGTCTGGAAGCGTCTATAGGACAGGAAATGGAGGCCTAATAGATCTGAAGGGTCAGCCACGCTTGGGCTGAGGAAGAATGAGAAAGGAGCACCCCAGCCCACTTCCTGCAAAGGATGCCCAGCTTGGAGCAGCTCATGAAGTCAGCAGACCTTGCCCCACAGCTTTTCTTCTGAATGGATCTCCCTGTTGCTGTCATTTTGCTGGGTGGAGGGCTAGGTTCTTCTCGCAGAGGTCAAATGCCATGGAGACCAGGAGCACCGCAGACCCTGATCCTTACTGTGTCCGCATTTGCTCACTTGCTTTGGTATGGACTGCTTTACACTCCTCCAGGATGCACCAGCCCACTGCATGGAGCTACCCTCACGGTGAAATCCCCTTTATGGCTGGGTGTTTCATTGGCTGTGCAGTCCACGTGCACTCTGTCTAATGGACACGAATTAACAGCCAACTTGAGATTTTAATGAGCCCTTTCCACATCGTTTGAAAGTATCACATGAGATCAAGTACAGGTACCAAACCCTGGGGAATCTGCTACTTATGCTTTCAACATGCAGAGAAATGCCCAATTATTTCTTATGTTTGTTTCTAAGTTTTATTTGATGACAAATAATGCCTTAACTATAATGATTCAATTTCAAAAACAAAGCACTTACTGTTTCAAAGGAATAGGAAATCTCTAAAGAGGCCTCTAATTTCAAAGGAATCTCCAACAGTTTTTAAGAGGTGAGTGTCACCGCTATCCTGTCTGAAGCCTGCTGTGACTCTCTTCAGCCTTTTTCTGTGTATGACAGAGACTGTGGCATGGAAAACAGTTGTACTGTGGACACATGCAGTGTCACTTAATGTGTTATTTAACGTCTGTTTTATATAACACTATGAGAGAGATAACTCTTTCCCCACGGTACTGAGGTGGGCTATCCTCCACGGTACTGGGGTGGGCTATCCTCCACGGTACTGGGGTAGGCTATCCTCCACTGTACTAGAGTGGGCTATCCTCCACTGTACTAAGGTGGGCTATCCTCCACTGTACTAAGGTGGGCTATCCTCCACGGTACTGGGGTGGGCTATCCTCTACTTGCAATTTTGTCAGGAAGGCTTGGACAGAGACACCGCCAGACTTTCAGAGTCCCTCGTCAGTCACAGTCTGTATCTTCTTAGACCTGTGGAACTTGGCTGCTTGGGTGGCCCACAGCTAGTTCAGGGCAAAGTGGACTGGGCAGAGAAAGGTACTGGTGGGGAAGACAGGGAAGAGAGAGTGGGGCACAGGAGCTGCAGGAAGTTACAAAGAGAAGTGGAAGATGGCAGTGAGACACTGAGTAGGAGCAAGCTGGCTGGGCAGGGGTCAGAGTCAGGGACCGTACCCAGCAACGTTACAGTCAAGGGTGAGGCCCCAAGTCAGTGGTTCTGGTGCTGGGCATTGAGTGAAGGAAACACCAAGATGATTGGCCAGTTTCCACAACAGCATTGTCAACTCCTGGGCACCCCCAACATCTAGCTGGAAGGAAGAATGTCGGGCTTCTATCTGGCAAGAGGGTAGAGCTGGCTGAAAAAGGAATAAGGAGCTGGCATGTGGGTTCCGGGGTTGACACACTGTCTCTTCTGGTGGCCTCAGGAGGCAGCCATGCTATGTGCTACTCCCTGTCCTACAAGACCCTGCTGCTTCCTCCACAGCCTCCAGCAGTGAATCTTCAGCGAGGAGCAAATGTTTCTCTCTTGCAATATACTCCTTGACTTGAACAAGAGTCCCAAAGCCCCTTCCCACTACCATGACCTGACCCACCCCTGGGTATGGCAGGAGCTGTGTCATTTGGCCAGAAAAACAGGGTCAGCTGCCTATGATGGCGCTACATGCTCGTCTGAATGGAGCCCCCACTTCTTTGCTGGCAGAGCTGTACAAAAGCCATGTGGAGCCTCCTAAGAGGATGCTGGGCTCTCTAGTTCACAGTGGGCTTGAGTCTGGAGGATACAGAGATACACGAAGCTTTTAGTAAGCAAGCGTGGCAGCCCCACTGTGCAGCTATAGGCCATGAAGACTTACTCAGCTCTTTTCTGACCCTGTACTTCTGTGCAGAGACGCTAGGAGGCAGCCTCTCGCTAACAGCATACCCACTGGCAGAGGCCTATGTGGGTTTTGAGACAGAACACTTCCCTTCTCTGCAGACTGTTTCAACACAGTCGTTCCTTTACTCTTTGAACTGCCCACTTGTGTGTGTGTGGTTTTTTTTTTAAAATATTTATTTATTTATTTTTGGTTTTTCCCTATAAACCCATTAAGTCGGCTATTCTGCTAAATAATGGCAGTTAAACCAGGTGCTATGGCCTGCATCTTTAATCCCAGCACATGGGAGGTAGAAACAGCAGATGTTTGTAAGTGAGGCCAGTCTGGACTATACGATGGGACTCTGTTTCAACAAAATAAAAGTAAAATAAATCTTAGGAGCTAGAGAGATGGCTCAGCAGTTAAGAGTATTGGCTACTCTTCCAGAGGTCCTGAGTTAAATTCCCAGTACTCACATGGCAACTCATCTGTAACTGCAGTCATGAGGGATCTGATACCCTCTTCTGGTGTGCAGACATATATATAGACAAAACACCCATATACATAAGATACATAAATAAATCTTCTTAAAAAGCAACGAAAAGTTGACAATACAGAAAGCCACATCAACTGTCTTCAGATGTGTTCAAAATTATTTTAAATTTTATTTTAATTTTATGTGTATGAGTGTTTTGTCTGCGTGTATGTATGTGCACCATGTGTGTGCAGTGCCTGAAGAGGCCAGAGAAGGGTGCTGACTCCCATGGAACTGGAGTTACAGGTGGCTGTGAACCCTCTCTCCAGCTCCATTCTGTATTAATTTTTACTGTTATGACTACAGTAACAAAATGATGAGCAGTGATAAAGACTACAGTGTGTGTCACAGTGTGTGTCACGGTGTATGTGTGTGTCACGGTGTATGTGTGTGTCACGGTGTATGTGTGTCACGGTGTATGTGTGTGTCACGGTGTATGTGTGTCACGGTGTGTGTGTGTGTCACGGCGTATGTGTGTGTCACAGTGTATGTGTGTGTCACGGTGTATGTGTGTGTCACGGTGTATGTGTGTGTCACAGTGTGTGTCACGGTGTATGTGTGTGTCATGGCATATGTGTGTGTCACGGTGTATGTGTGTGTCACGGCGTATGTGTGTGTCACACATGGCTTTACATTTTTGAGAAATCTCGTATTCACTTAATAAATTTGGGGAAATTTCTTTTTCAGTATAAGATCCAAATAGGCCAGAGGACCCCTACTGTGGTTCACAGTCTAAGAAGGAAGGTGGGAGTTTGAGGCCAGCATGGTCTACAGAGCAAGTTCCTGGACAGCGGAGCCAAGGCTACAGGGCACCAGCAGTGTGAGGACAGGAAGTGGGGGCTGGGCAGGAAGAGGACTCAAGGCCCGCCCCAGTCACTGTTTCCTCCTGCAGTTTACAGCCTTTCACAACAGCTCCACCCGCTGGCGAGTGTGGGTCCACAGCACACCCTGTCCACCTAGAGTTTCCTTCCTTCCCCAAGGCTGGTGCCACCCTTCACCAGACCAGGACACTGAGGTTCCAGGAAGCCCATGTACCCTACTACAGCGACAGGCACATGAGGGTCCCAAGCACAAGAGAACTACTGGATGGACTTACCACATGGCATGCATGTATGTTGGTGGGAGTCGTGGGCTGCTCACTGGAGTGCAGTTATACGACCTCATGATTCTTTCTGCCAATAAAAAATTTCTAAACAAACTTGCCACCAGCAGGTCCTGTCGGAAGAGCTTTTGGAAGAGATCTGAAGGCAGATAAAAAATAACAAGGAATCTTCAGTGATTTGTGCCCAGCACTGGAAGCCAAGCACACAAGCTTTCTTCCATCAAAAATTATTACAGACAAGTTGAGACTGACACATACGTGTCACTGGCAATACACACACACACACACATGCACATATCAGTCTACATATGACCAAAAACACAAATCCCAACCAACCTATAAACAAAGTACACACGTTTTATAGCAAGAATACTGGTTTCAACAGATAAGGACAATGTCAACACTTATTAAGGAAGCGGAGCCCTGGGCCTGCTGGGAAAACATTGCTGAGGGATGAGCATGGCTGACGTGGAGCTTGCCGCCTGCCCTGGTCCTAAGCACTTGACCCTTGGTCCCTGCATGACATCACCACAGCCAACCCTCCTGAGGCTCTTTTGCTCTCCTTCCTGTTTTTCAGTGCCTGTGAGCTTCTTCATTAGAGGGGACCAGTGATACTGTTTGATGGTGGTGTCTCTCACCCCGAGGGAGCACATTCCAGGCGATGGTGTCTGTGATGGCTGTGAAGATCCAGTTCAGCTCACCCAGAGGGGTTCTCCGGTCATTCAGCCGGCCAGGAATCCTAGACAAGATGGCGTCTGCATTAGTGTTGCCATGGCTACTGAAACAGGCAAGGGAGTCAGATGTGGGAACAGATCTTGATGGAGAGGGAAAGACAGGCTGGGCTGTGGCTGGGAGGTTTTTCTGGAGTCCCTGACATTCCCAGAGTTCCCGCACATCTCCTTCAAGGAGACAAGACAGTCACTACGTAGGCTCACCCTAAGTAGCTTCTATGCTTTGCTCTCCAGGAAGACACATACCAACACTTTTCTTGTTGCCCTTACAGGTATGGACCAAGCACAGCTGGCAGCATACAGCTGTACTGATCCACACATGCAGCACAAGCCCAGCTAGGCTCAAAGACACACATCTCGCGGTCAAGGGATCCACTGCTGCGGAAGGGGAGGAACAAAGGCCTACCCTGTACAGCTTACTTACCGCGTAGCCTTTGAGTTGGTCCTGAAAACCTAGACCTGCTACCACGGAGAGCACCACTCCGTGGGAGGGACAGATGAGGAGCAAACGTCAAGTGCATGCACAGAGAGTCTGGCCATGCACACGCTGCACACTCCAGGCAGGGCATGGAGGGCAGGCGTGTGCACTATGGAAAGGAGGTGGAGGAAAGCTGCACTGAGTGCCAATCCAGGAGCAAGCAGACTGCATCCTGACAAGGCGGAGGGTCCATGCCGAGGACACGGATGAGTCCACTGCAGACCAGAGCAGTTTAAAGCCCTAAGGTGCGGGCGGGCATGCCCTACATCTTCTGCTCTGCCGCAGGCTTAACTTTACCCACCAGGTAGCAAGTTTAATTATATCTGACTAGAAACTCTTTCTTCCTCCCAAAAGGAAAATGTTCACAGTGATTTGGTTTAGAGACTAGAGTGTGATTTGCTATTTATAAGGTGGAACAGATTAATAATTCCCATTATAGTCATCCATTTGATGGTACTGTCAGTAAGAACAGCTCAAAGACTCAGGAACAGAGGGGAGCAGGGCCAGGCGAGCTACATAACACAACTAGGCCGAGTGAGCGCTTTCCTCCACTAATACCGTCTGTTCAAATACTCCTTGTCTTCAAGGAGCTTTAGTGACAGTCAGCCAGTTCTCTCCAGTTGCCAACACAGAGAGAACACTGCTGACCAAGACGGTCACCTGACCTAGGGACAGAGGCTTTACTAGAGTCCCAGCAGAGAAATGGCTAGCTACCGAGCTCAGCTTCGGTGTGACTGACACCATGGGACTTACAGACCGCCCTCTCCCCCCAACCTCAGCTGGTCTTCCTGGTGTGGTGAGCCCTACCCTACAACAGTCAGTGTGGCTTAGCCGCTGCACTAAAAAAAACAGAGGACCTGGAAGAAACTGGGAGGAAAGGTCAGATGTCCTCTTTGGGCAAATGTGAATACCCTGACCCCAGGTCAGCCTGCTCAGCACCAAAGCATTCTCTTCCAGTGAACTCTTAGGCCTTGAGCTTCCATACAGTCCTAGGTATAAGCAGGCCGGGCCAGGAGAGCCTCCTTTAGATGAGCGAACACCAGAGGAAAGTGGCCACCAGGCATCCACAGTGTGCAGTCTCCAGCAAGGGATTTACTGTGCCACTCCCTGCCCCACTTTAGGCATCAAGCACACACTTAAAGAACCGCCCCCCGCCCCCGGCTCACACCATTCAGGGAAGGGTCAGAGAAACTATGGCAACATTTGGGGAAATAGAGCAATCACACTGGGAACATATACAACCTTGTCTTCTATCTCAGTGTGAAGCTTCCCGGACAGCAGTCAACACCCCCTTTCCCTTGAGACAGGATCTCACTATGTAGCCCTGGCTGTCTGGAACTCACTCTGTAGACTAGGCTGTCCTTGAACTCATAGGGCCCCATCTGCCTCTGCATCCCGAGTGCTGGGATTAATGGCGTGTGCCACTGTGCTTGGCCACCAGTTAATTCTAATCCAGGAACTTATTAAGGAGATGTACTTAGTACAGGACGTACTAAGGCAGAGTGTGGTTTTATTAAGACTGTGACAAGTTAGAAATGGGCTATGTGACCAAAACAAAGTAAATTATAGGACAACTATAGAGAAACTGGCTACTAGATGCTTCATAGTGATTTTCTGGACATCTCAACGCCCCCGTGCTTTATAATAATAAAGGAACAAGTCAAGGGCACAGCCAAGACCACACAAAACAGAGAGCAGCAGGAAGACCTCCACGTGCCAGGTGGGGTGTGCGCTTCCTGTCATCCACACGGAGAATGGAGACTCCACCCCACATTTCTTTGCTTGTTTATCCTCAGCCTTGGGTGGCCCTAGGAAGGTGAGCTCTAAGGAGACAGCATGGGGGGCTGGACCCTAGTGCAGTAGGCAGTTTTCTTGGGAGACGTACAGGGTCTACAAGAACCTAAGGGACCTACCACGGTCTGTTGCCAAGCCTGGGTGGTTACTGATAAGCCCACACGCTTTGAGTCAAGTGAGGCTACCACAGATCAGGCTGTTTTCCTGGGTACAGTTTCTGGGGATGTGAACAGAAGCTGTGCTCTCAGCAGTGAGAAGCTGCCAGCAAGTGTCACTACCCTAGCCTTGGTCACTGAGTAGCCACTGAGAACAGAGCCTGTGTTTGGGTCTGGGTTATTTGTATTTAAAAACAAAACAAAACTCTAATGTGTGACAGTCAGCACTAAAATTCCATAGCATCCTGAAAAAGCCCCTATCTTCCCTGAGATCATCATAAAAATATAGGCATCTGCCCAACCGTTGCAGATAGATCTAAAAATCATCACACTGATTGGTCGATAGATTGATGGACCGACTGTCCAGTGGGTAAGCACTGGTGTGGCCTCTAGCCCATTTGCAGACAGGTCCTTCTGGGATGACAATGGCAGAGTGAGCCAACACCCGTTCTCCTTGTCCTCTAGAGCTGACAGGGAAGCTGGGAAGCCATCTGGATCGTCACAGGCTACAGCAGGACCCAGAGGGAAACAAGTAGCTGCAACATCCCACCAGACACCCCACCCCACTTCAGAAGTGTCTCTAGGTCCTAGAAAGTCCATTGACAAGCACAGGGGCTCTTTCAAAATTTAACTCCTTGGTGCTAATCAAGGACAAACTTTATGTGGAAAGTGATCACAGGATTGAAAGATGTGAAGCCAACTCTAGTCCCAGCTGTGCTGAGGCTGGGCAACTTCTGCATCCTGTGTCTCGGCTCTGAGTCACGACAACTAACCTTATGTGCGACACGGGACTAAAATAAAACGGGTCACACTTGCACAGCAGACACAACGGCAGCCAGATACCTCCTTGGCAGGGGCAGGCCGCCTCCTCAGCTCTCCCTCCCGCTGTTGCTGCCGGCACAAGGTTTATTCCCATCTTCCTGAGTACATGACACTCCCCTGCAGCTGTCTGTTTCCGGCCAGGACTCATCTCCCTTGACTTCAACACCCAGGCTACCCCTGTTCAGCACCTGCTGCCACAAAGTGACCACATTTTAGTGTCTCCACTGCCACGGATGTGACGATCTCAGAGCGGGGCGGGCTCTGGGATGGCGGTCTGCCACTTTTCTCTTGGGCCGCTCTTTCTTCACCCCACACCCCTGATGGCCCTTACCACCATCTCTGCAGTCACTCATGAGATGACTCTGTCCACCACTCTGCTCCGGAGCCCCCCTTTTCCACTTAGGCGACAGACAGACCCTGTTACATCACTGGTCATCCAAACCTTACCGAGGAGACATTTCTAAGTACATGTTCAGTGTCTGAATGTCCGGATGACTTCCACCTCCTTTGGCCTCATTCCTATGAATGCCCTGCCAACTTGTGTCTCACTAGTTCCTGCCCTTCCTGTCTGTTTCTCACTTGGGGCTGCACAGAGTCATGGACTGTGGGAAGAGCACACTCACAGATCGGGTCTCAGTCATGAGAGGTCTTTACAAACTGACGAGCAATGTTGAGGGATATACAGGGTAAGCACCCAGTCTGAACTCTGGCGTCAGACAAACATGGGCTTGAATCTGGCTAGTAACTGCCCTGTGGCCTTGGGTCAACTGTCTGAGCTCACTGAGGTCTGGTTTATTTCAATACTAAGTTTCACAACTAGCTAGACCCAATCACTGACTTGGGACTGCTGCCATGTGTGCCACTGTACATGGATCACCTCCCAGGTGGTGCTCTTTTCATTCTAAGCTGTCCTGAGGGTGTTCTTGACTTTGAGAAGGAGTGGTGAACAACTGAACACAGCCTGGCTTACCACTGCCTCACAAGGTCTGAGGACCAGGAACAAGTAGACCTGGGATACAGGAGGTAGGGCTTATAGCAAGCTGATGATGCCTACATCTTTCTGGCCTTGGAAAAAAAAATCAGCCAAGACCTCATGACCCTACAGCTTCCTTTGTGCTCCACAGTACTCCTCTTCCTTCATCCGGGAAAACCACAGGGCAGCCAGCACAAAGTTCCCCTTAGTGCTCCTGACCTTAGAAGCAACAGATCTCTGACAGCCCTTACCATTGGCCCTCCTACCCCTGGAAAGTCAGGTACCAACACCCTTTCCTGCTCTGTGGGATCCTGACTCAGTTTGGGAATGCTGCCCTAACCTCATAAAACCTTGGAACACCCTTGCCATTCAGGGCTATCAGCCTGCTCAGATCAGTGAGCAACTACAGTGACTCTCCTGCCTCACACGCGGTGGGCTGTTCTTCATTCTTTACATCTTTCTTCACAGCCTGAGCTCAAGAGGAGCTTAGAGCAGAACTGCTAACTTCTCTTCAGCAAGGACCCTCTCTCCGAGCCCTCCTCACACATGTGCTCCCCAGCCTTAGCCCAAGTGCGGCACAGAGTTTCTGTGACAATCTGCTTCCGCCTGATGGGAAGGAAGGCTGTCCCCATCCAAGTCCTTCTAATTCACATCATGTCGGGGGAGGGCTCCCTGTGTCAGCTAGAATACTGCCAAGTCCTCTGATGTCTTTCCCATAGGGGCCTTGAGTGCCTCTACTTAAAATCTCAATGACATCAGGCACCTGCGGCTGGAGAAGAGTGGGCT